ATTTCTTCAAGATCAACTTGCCTCCCACTGTCTCCTTGGCTTATAAACTCTCTTTCTCGAAAGACTCCTCTTCTTGCTACAAAGACCACATTGTCACTAGGTCTGTAGAAGAGGTAACCAAAGGATTGTGTGGGTAGCCGATGAAAATACACCTCTCGCTTCGGGGTTCGAGCTTATCATGAGTCTCGCGTCTCACGAAAGCCTCGCACCCCAAATCTTGATGTGGTCTAGTTTAGGTACTTTACCAGTCCACATCTCGTGAGGAGTTTTGGCAACTTTCTTTGTAGGGACTAGATTAAGGATATGGGCGGCAGTCTCTAAGGCATACCCCCAGAATGAGATTGGTAGCGAAGCTCGACTCATCATGGAACGAACCATGTCCAACAAGGTTCGATTACGCCTCTCAGCCACACCATTCAACTGCGGTGTCCTGGGAGGTGTCAATTGTGAGACAATCCCACATTCCTTAGATAGTCGAGGAACTCTGAACTAAGATACTCACCACCTCGATCGGATCGAAGCATCTTAATGTTCCTGCCCAATTGATTCTCGACTTCCTGTTTAAATTCCTTAAACTTCTCGAAAGTCTCTGACTTATGCTTGATTAAGTAGACATATCCATATCTACTGTAATCATCGTAAAAGTCAAATAATAACGATTAGCATCCCTTGTGGCATGTTTGAATGGTCCACACACATCCGTGTGTATAAGGTCCAACAAACCTTCACCCCTTTCACACGAGCCTGTGAAGGGTGACTTTGTCATTTTTCCAAGTAAGCATGATTCGCAACTATCATTTGACTTTAGGTCAAACGACTCCAAGACTCCATCCTTTTGGAGTTGGCCTATGCGTTTCTTGCTTATATGTCCAAGACGACAATGCCATAATGATGCTTTATCCAAGTTATTATTATTAGTAGAATCAATACACAAAACATTATTTCCTAAGTTATCTACAATAGATACAGCTTCATACACACCATCACAAGGTAATGCTTTAAAATAAAGTACATTATTAAAGAAAGCATTAATCGAACCAACTTCATTATCAAACGAAAAGGTGAAACCTTGTTTGTACAATGCATGAAAGGAAATAATATTTCTTGCCATTTCTGGCGAATAACAACATTTATTCAAATCTAAATTTAACCCACTACTTAGCGATAAAGTATAAACTCCAATCTTGGTGACAGGTGTAACTTTCCTATTCCCCATGATTAAGTTTATTCTTCCTTGCTCCACATTCTCACTTCTTCCTAGTCCCTGCAAGTCACAACAAATATGAATACCGCAACCTGTATCAAGGACCCAAGATTTCGAATGGGGTGAGTTATTAGAAATGATAGTGTAAATACCTGCATGGTTGGGTTTGACTTTCCCATCCTTCACATCCTGCTGGTACTTTGGGCAGTTCCGCTTCCAATGAGCTTTTTCATGGCAATAGAAGCATTCAGCCTCTTTTGGGTCAGAAGAAGGAGTAATGAAACCTTTCTTGGTTCCACTTGAAGAAGAGCCATCAAGGGTCCGAGCCTTGGTACCCTTTGAAGATCTCTTTCTCTTCCTCCCTCGACTTTGCCCGATTGCCAAGACCGGAGTTGAGTCTGGAGTAGGAGTGATAGCAACCGACTTCCCCTTAAGACCTGTTTCTGCGGTCTTGAGAAGTCCCTGAAGTTTGCTGAGGGTGACCTCTTCCTTGTTCATGTGATATGTCATGCGGAATTGATCATAGCACGATGGTAAGGAGTGCAAAATGATATCTATTGCAAGCTCCTCAGGGAAGTTCACATTAAGCTTCAGCAAACGATCCACATACCTTTGCATTTTCTGCATGTGGCTCGTGACGGAATCTCCGTCCTTCATCATGGTTGTTATCATGGAGCAGATGACTTCGTACCTCTCTTGTCGTGCACTTTGATGGTATCTTTCCATCAAATCTTGGTGCATTTCATAAGGGTAGAAATCTTCATAAGACTTTTGGAGTTCAGCTGTCATGGTGGCCAACATGATGCAAGCCACCTTGGTTGCATCTCTTTCATGAGTATGAAAGTCAGCGATCTCCTGGGGAGTTGCAGTGGACTCGTCAATTTCCTTAAGCTCCTTGTCAAGGACATATTCTTTGTCCTCGTAGCGGGTAATCATCCTGATGTTTCTGATCCACTTATTGAAGTTGGATCCATCAAAGGTGACTTTCCCACATAGACTCATAAGAGTAAAGGAGCCATTAGGATTCGAGCCAGAAGCATTATTTGAAGACATCTGAAAAAGAAGAACAAGTTTAGTTTAGATTTAAGAGAGTCCTTAATAAAACACCCAAATGTAATATTAAGGCTAGGATCCAATCACAATATAATATAACTTAGAAGAGGTATGCCGTAATCTAAGCTATACCATATTTGAAAGGTAGGTGAATGACGATTCACCAATTTCCACCATGAAAACCGAAATATTAGATATTTAGTTTTTATTGGTTTTAGAAATTCCTAGATTCTTTGAGATCCAATGAACTTTTCAAAGGCATGTTTCAATCTCGGGAGTGCCCTCCAGGTTTTATGACTGGGATGCCGAGGATCACAAAACGAGGTGTGAAGTAACCATGCAAATCACTTGGTACCCTTAAAGTTTATCACTCAATCGATGTGCCGGTAAACCACACACGCTCCACCGATACTATAATAAACCTTAAGTCACCCTTTACCTACCTTGTTAAGTCCAAGTTAGTGTGCCGGTTAACCACACACGCTCCACCAACGACTTAGACAAAGTGTAAAGTGTAATTTCATGGATTAGCACCTTATTCACATTTTTCCTAAAGTAACTAAGATTGGGAATTTAATAAACATTTAGTTACTTTATTATATTCATCATACTTTGAATGAGAATTTATAAGTCCTTGTCTTACCCGTTCGGCTAACGACCCTTCACCAGTCAAGCAAGCGGTGGGTGAGAATATACACCCATTAAGTCACCATTTTATAGGCAACAACCTTATACCCACCTTATAGACCGGCTTCGTGAATGAGGCGTACTAGCGGTAAGACGACTTTATTCTTATACATATATATATATATATAATTATTAAATCATCATAATATAAGTATAAGGGTTGAATTTTAACTTTTAAAATTCTAGGGGTTGGAACTTAAAGTTTTAACTTAACTTTACTTGTTCCAAAACTTGAGGGCAAGTTTTGTAACTTTCAAAACTTTTCATTTCTTGTAACTTATGAGTTTAATAGAGTAATAAAATGAAGACTCTTCATTTTTCTAACTCTTGTGTTTTCTTAATGGTTTTAACTCAAGTGTGACTCTTGGTTTTCCATAACTTAAGGATAAGTTATGGACTCCATTAAAACACATTATGATCAAGAATTAAACTACCAAATAGGTTACAAATAATTCCTATGATCATCTAAAACATCATAAGAACAAGAACATGAATATGAACACAATCAAAAATTACATAAAACTTTGTAATTTTGATAACTAGTTGTTGTAAATAAATTAGCAAAGACATTACACCACCAAAAAACAAATTTACAATTACCAAAACAGTTTAGGGTAATGTTTCTAATTCATTTTCCAGCAACTGAATCGAAATTCTCCACTCATTCGACCCTACTCGCCGAGTGCATGAACATGACTCGCCGAGTTGGTTGAAGATAGTCATGGACTCGACGAGTCCCCCCTATAGACTCGACGAGTCCATTCGCAGACAGCAAATTTCCGATTCTGTTTTCAACTTTTAAGCACAAATAAGAACAAACAAGCCTAGGCTCTGATACCACTGATGGGTTTTGAGCATTCTAACACTTCCTAAGTGTACATGCAACCCTAATAACCTTGGATCTATGTTTGTCTAATTGTCATGCAAAGTTGATTTTCCAAGGTTATATTCCTATCTAGCATACATGGGGAACAATTTTAACATAAAGTATAGATAGAATAACTTACCTTGTTGTTGTTTGTGTTCCTTAAAACCTTGTGAGCCTAGCACCCCAAGTGTGATGCCTCAAATGCTTCACACAACACCAAATGCTCTTGGAAGAACTTATGAGAGTATACTCACTTCGGTCCGATGCAGGGGGGCAAGGCCCCAGTTAGTCCGGACTTCGGTCCGATGCAGGGGGCAAGGCCCCAGTCAGTCTCCGGACTTCGGTCCGATGCAGGGGGCAAGACCCCAGTTAGTCCGGACCTCGGTCCGATGCAGTGGGCAAGGCCCAATATGTGCTTTAGATGTTATTATATGGTATGGGGTAGTTTGGGGGAGCTCACTAAGCTTCGTGCTTACATTTTCATTTTTTGGTTTCAGGTACTCAGTTTTCAAAGGAGGATCTCGGGAAGATTGCAGTGCACACACCATAGTCAGCTAGCCTGGGATGTTTTACTATGATAATAAGTTTGTATTTCGAATTAATGCTACAAAATTATGTTATGTTTTATGATACGGTTTTTATGAATATGGTTTTGGTAATGTTTTAAAAGAAAATTTTAGTCGTGATTTTTGGGATGTTTCATAAATAGATAAAAATTGATGAGCGAATAGCCGCCCTAAATCTATATTATTCAGCGGATTGTTGGTTTCGGGGAGCCAAATGATATATTTTAGACTTTCGGGGGTCCAAGTGTAAATTTGGGACTTGTTTTGCAAATATTTTTAGAAGACAGTGCGCATTTGGTAACATTTGGACCTAATATGAAAAGATTTATGGAAGCAGGGGCTAAAGAATAAATTCCGGACTTAATTTGAATGGATTTTGGTTGGCTGGGGTTAAAAAGGTAATTTGGGGATTTGTTTTGAAAGAAAAGGAAGGCGAAAGGACCATTCTTGACATTATGGCAAACTTTAATATGAGCCATATATATATGCTTTGCGTAACCCTAACCTTAAGAGGATCAGCAGCCGTCGCATACACTCTTCACCTTCAACAGTCGGCCTTCGCTGCCTATTCGAGTTCCACCACCCACTGTCGTTGAAGACGGAAAGACAAGGACCAGACGTCATGTATAGTCTGGGAAAACCCACTGAGATCGGTCGAATGATGCTTTACCGACTGGAGATCATAGATGTTATCGCCGTCATGTTGCCGTTATACTTCTTTTGTCGTCGTCTCTTTGTCGAAGTTGCGTCCCAGCTCTATTGGCATCGTCGCTTCCCATCCCCATCGAAGGCAAGGATGCTTCCGGGGACTAGACACCTGTTGCTACTATTAACCGCCAAGGAATCACGCTGTCGCTGCCCTGACGACCACCCCCCCGATTCTTGTTCAAGGTCGTTGCCACCGTCGGCAGTGGCTGTGTTCTTGTGTGTGTGTGTTAGTTTTAGCCGGTTGTGTGGGTCGTTTTGCGTATGGGAGTGTGTTTCAGATTGTGTTTGCGTGTGGATGCTCGACTGGGAATCAAGAGAACCGCCGCCACCACCTCATGGTGGTGGCTATCACCACAATTCATCACTGATGCCGCCGTTGCCACCATGTGTGTGTGTTTTGGTGCGTTTGTGTTCATTTCTGCAGTGAGAGGGTGTTGTGTGGGTGTTTAGTTGTCCAGAAAAGCCACCACCGGCCACCATAAGGGTGGTTGTGTGTGTATGTGTGTTATTATTAGTGTGTGTGTGTGTATTATCGAGTTGTACATTGTAATGGTGCCAAACTAATAATAGAAATCTCAAACCACCACCGTAGGGTGGTGGCTGCCGCCACCGGCCGCCGTGTTGGGTGGTGGTGTACTTGCCTCGTTGAGTTTGATTCGTTTGGGGTGCTTGAAAACCTAATGGGCCTTGTAGGCCCTAATAGACCCAATGAAGCTTAATGGACCTAAAAGCCCAAGCATGCGACTAATGGGTTAATGATATTCTAGTGGACCTAATAGGCCCAATAAAGCCCTAATTGACCTAAAGGCCCAACAAATTGATAAATGGGCTAGTATTTGGGTTGGAAAACCCTAATGCTAATAAAACCCTAATTTTGAGAATTTATCAGGACACACACGAGAATTATTTAATAACTTGAAATGTTAAATAATAATCATTAGCAGAAATTAATCTAAGTAATTATGGACTTAATGGATTAAATCCTTAGTGGGTTAAGTCGTTAATGGGTTAAGTGAGAAACACTTAACCCTAATCGTCATTTTATGTGAAAGCCTAATTTTACTTGGGCCTTTGGTTAGGCCTTTCCATCGGGCTTTGGTAATTGGATTATTAATGGGCCATCCAAGAATAATCTTATGGACTAGAATATGTTGATTGGCTTAGGGTAAGACCCATATGAGGGTTTGGGCCCAATTTGGAAAATTAGGCCATAGATGGGCCATTATGATTATGAGATATTGGGCCATTAAAAATACCAAATGACGGATTGGACTTTTGGTTGAGCCTTAGAATGAGACCATGCAAAGGTTTGGGCCCAATTTGGAAAACTGGGCCATATGTTGGGCTTTGATTCATAGTTGACTTTGGGCCTATGGATTGGGCCTTGGGCTCGAATAAAGCCAACCTTGGGGTAATGTAGTAATTATCCAAGTATATATTTGTGGTTATGTGTTGGGACCCAATTATTAATTTGGGTATTGTTTGATGTTGGCAGTTCGGGAATCTGTCAACCAGCAGCTGGAAGTTCATCCGCGGGACTTCAGCAGTGTGAGGTGAGTCTTCTCACCATACCAATGGGTCCAAGGCACCAAGGCCGACCCATTTTATGTTATGTGGTACACTAGATATAGTAGAGATATGTGTGGTATGATAGTTAGCTTTATGCTAAGTGGTATGCTAGTGATTATATGATATGTGTTATGCTAGTTATATCTATGATACTTGCATGGAAGACTCCGGGGGAAGCCCGTGACATTAGATGTAAGACCATGTGGGGTAGCCCATGACAGTCATAGGTAAAGGCCATGTGGGGTAGCCCATGGCATTGGATGTAAGAAAATGTGGGGTAGCCCATGAAAGTCCTAGGTAAAGACCATGTGGGGTAGCCCATGGCATTCTTACAGGTTTTTGTATGCATGGCTTATATGTTATACGTAGCTTCTATAGCTAGCAGGATATGTGATACATGTAGCTTTTATAGCTAACATGATATGTGATATGTGGATTGTGTGTATGGTATGCTCTGGGAAACTCACTAAGCTTCGTGCTTACGGTTTTCAGTTTTGGTTTTAGGTACTTCATTTTCAAAGGAAAGGAGTCGGATCGATCGCAGCGCATCACACTATGTTTTCCGTACAGGAGTTCTTTGGGGTTAAACTTTGATATTATTTTATGACGACATGCTTAATTATTGATACACTGGTTTTGACATGATATATTATTATGAATGTTTTATACTGATGGTTTTATGTAATAACTTAATTAAAACAAAATTTTTGGTTTGGAATTTTGGGACGTTACAACCGGTTAACCACACATGCTCCATCAATAAACGATAATTTATGAGCTACCCATTATCACCCTTTATTAGTCCATATTAGTGTGTCGGTTGACCACACACACTCCACTAACGACTTTTATAAAGTGCAATGTGCAATTTCATGGATTAGCATTAAATTTACATTTTCCTAAAGTAACTAAAGTTGAGAATTTTATAAAAACATTTAGTTACTTTATATATTTCATTATACTTATTAATGAGAATTAAATGTCCTATCAAACTCATTCGGCTAACGACCCTCTACTAGTCTAGAGAGCGGTGGGTAAGAGTGGATACTCAATGATGGTCATTTTATAGGCCACTTCTTTAAATTCCCTTTTTAGACCAACTTCGTGAATGAGGCCTACACACACACACACATATATATATATATTAAACAATTAAAATGAATTTAAGGTAATTATCCTAATCAATCCATGAGACAATTATCAAAATCGAAAATTTAGGATTTGACAGTCTAACTCATTGAGTTTGGCAATGCACTCGTCGAGTTGATGTCAACTCGTTGAGTTCCAAGATGAACTCGACGAGTTCAATTAATAAAATGACGATTATGTTCCCTTCCCCTTTAAACAATTCACAAATGCATCATATTCAACAAAAAACTAATCCTAGGCTCTGTACCACTGAAGGGTTTTGAGCATAACAACAATTACTAAGTGTACATGCAACCCTAATGCTTTGGATCTAGGTTTTCTCTATTAAACATGCAAACTTGAACACAAGAGGAGAAACCCTAGGAGAGGTATACTATTTTCGAAATTCATATGAAACTAGTGTTATGTTACATACCTTGATTGTTGTATTGTAATAATAATGAATCGCTTGTAGATCTTGAAGCTTGAGAACTTAGTGTTACAAGTGTAACACCTCTAATGGCTCACAAACACACAATGCCAGAGAATGATATGAGAGAGGAGGAGGAGATCATATTTTCGGTTATTGCTTCTTCCAAAGAGTTGCCAAAAATCATAGCCCTAAAGGTTCTTTATATAGTGCACCAAGGATGCTATGGATTAACCCTAATTTCAAATATGGTAATTATCTACCTCCTTTGATTATCCATATATGATAAGATATTCTAGAAACTCTAGAATAATCTTTCATATTTATTTAATTGGTGTTTTTTTTGTAACAATTCTTGCTCGTTGAATAAATTGTCATCATCGATGTCTAAGATATGACCATTTTGCAACTTATTTTCAATATTTTACAACCCGTATTTATTAATCAATATTTAATGATTTCAACTTTTCTACTGGGAATAAGAAACCAAAAATTTATTCCTAATGCTTGTATTGATGGAACATTCACTTCAATGAACCAATAACTTGATCAACTATGTACATAAAATATTGAATCATGAATGCCCATTGAAGTAAAAGTTCATGTACTAGCTCCGATGACACACAATTACTGTCGTCAAAATATATTTTCTTAAGATTTATTCTTTTATTATTTTTTACAATAAACACTAAATTAATTAATAAATTAAAAGCTATAACTATAACTTAATGAAAAGACTTGTCAAACCCATGCTCTTGATTTTGCCTTTGATATGTAGATGTTTTTGTATCGATATCTAAATTCTAAATAATATTAATAATATAGTTAGTAGAACCTAATTTTTATTGTTTTGTTTCTAATTTTATTCAATATATTATTATTTTGTCATCTATTTTTTAGTAATATAATATTACGGTAAGTTTTCAATCGAAGGCTCTTATAATTAGAGACCCCATGTAAACACACCATCCGCACACATATGACCACCATTAATAAATAATGACATATACAAATGAATAACCTTTCAATATCATAAAAAATGCTTTGTGTTGACTTTTAACTATTAAGAACCCCATAATACGTATAAAAGGTGTTCTCATGAGAAACAACCTAATAAGATTTTTTTTCCCATAACATATGTAGTGAAAATGAATTATGGTATCTATTGATCTAAAAGATTGTTTATTACAATACGAAAAGATAGAAAATAAAAATTAGTAAAGAACCAAAGTTTCATCTCCACCCTAATCAGAAAGGTTCTTGAGAGAGAAAATTCACTCACATGTGACTGTTAACAAGCTTCAATCTTCTTGAAACCTAACATAAAAAATTATGACAAGGAACCAATAGATATAACATGCCATACATGTTATTTCAATCATGGGATTGTTGTAAGCAAGCTACTCTAAAGCAAGTTACATATATATTAAGTATAATGAGAGTTCCATTAGTGATAACAAAGGTATGGAAATGGATATCTTCCAATCGGTTCCTGTGTAACGCCTCGAAAATCATGACATAAATTTTTTTGTTTTTAGATTAATATATCGTTAATACATGCCTTCCCATAAAACCAGAGTAATTAAGTTTTTATCAAAACATTGATGAATCAGAGTAATTCACAGAAAACAGAAACATATGGTGTGTGCTCTGCAATCATCCCGACCCCTTCCATTTGAAAACCGAAGTATCTGAAACATAAACTGAAAATCGTAAGCATAAAGCTTAGTGAGTTCCCCAAAATACTATACAACATACAACCACATAATATCATGTAACATACATATAGTTTCCATGTGCCCCCCATGGTCTTTATTTGGGATGCCATAGGCTCACCCCATGGTCTTATACCTGGAATGCCTTGGGTTCCCCCTATGGTCTGATATCCAAATGTTATGGTCTCCCCTGGGGTATTCCATGCAAGTATCAAAAAAACAACAACATACCACATAACACGTAATGGGCCGATATTGGTGCCTTCGATCCATAGATATAGTGAGAATGCTCACCTTGCACTGTTGAATCATACATAAACACCCTTGGTTGCTGGCTGGCAGATCCCTGACTCCCATAATAACAAAACAACACCCAATTAACAATTGGGTTCCAACCTATAACCACAACTCCATACATAGGGTAAAAAGACCATTTTACTCTTAACCTAGCCTTGTCCAAATCCATAACCCAAACTACAATCTGAAAGGCCCAAAGGCTAATTAATCAACCAATGGCCCAATTTTTGAAATTGGGCCCAAACCCTTTACATGGGCCTTACCTTAAGGCCCAACCATTTTTTCTAGTCCAAAACACTTTGTATTCCGATGGCCCATTAATAACTCACACACTCAAGCCCAAAATACCAAAAATCACTCGTGGCCCAAACCATGGCCCAAATTTCCAAATTAGGTCCAAACCCCTTCATGGACCTTCTGAAAAACACTATTAGACCAAAGGCTAATGGCACAAAAGGGCTGAAGACAATCAAGCCCAACAGATAGCCCACACTGAAGCCCAATAAGCAAAACTTCCCCTGACCGAGTACGCGGGGCGTACTCAACTGTACACTAAGCCTACAGGCTGTTTGGCTTGTATGTTGTGCGTACATACTTGTACGCCCAACGTACTCCTCCATTGAGCCAAAACCTTTATTAAGCTCTTAATGCTTGATCCTATAAGTCCAAACCATAGATCCACTTCTAAATGAACGTCTAGAACCATAAAGTCACTGACTTAGTGACTTTGCATTTCCCAAGAAGACCCAATCTCAAAGTGTAGCATTCTACTTTCATGAAAAGGACCCAAACTCAAACATGGATGGTTTTAAACTCTAAAGGTGCCAACTTTATGGACCTTGAACCTCAGAAACACTAAGAGGGGCAACTTTATGGACCTTGCGGTGTTGATGCTAGTGGTGGTGGTAAAGTAAGAATATGCTCTATTTCTCACTCATCTTCATCTTCTTCGCTAATTCCAGATAAGTTATCATCTTTTATGATTCATGCATATGTTTTGTTTTTATGTTTGCCTCCGAAATATGCAATAATTTATGTGTGTATTAAATTGTGAATGAGCTATTTATACACTCAAATATGATATTATACTTATCATTGAGTTGTAAATGTGTTGTATTAAACTATGAATTTTGTGTATTAAGTTGTAAATTTTATTCACATCTTAATATAATAAATTTACAATTTAATACACAAAAATTCCTCCATATATAAACTCATAAATATGAGTTTTAAGTTGAGAATTTGGATGTGAATATATAATTTTGTATATTAAACAGTAAATTTATTGTATTAAACTATGAATTTTGTGTTTTAAACTGTGAATTGACCCTATTAAGTTATGTTTTTTTTATGAATTTTGTGTTTACATCTGAAATATGTGGAGAAAGAAGCATTATATACATATATGATTTTCTCTAATTCTAAATAAATTATATAAAATTTATATTGTGAATATTATGTAAATTAAACTTTGAAAGAAGCTTTATCCTGCAGATCTGAAGGTATAAATATAAGTTTTAAGTTAAGAATATGACATTTCTATTTATTAAATTGTTAATTTATTATATTAAGTTGTAAATTTTATGTTTTAAAGGATAATTGACTATATTAAACTACGAATATACTGCATTTTGTTGTGACATTTTTTTTATATATTTTTTTATCAAAATATGAACTTTATGAATTTTTGTATAAACGTTCTGGTGAATATATTTATTTTTGTGTTGTATACTTATGTAAGAATGCATTAATTTTTGTAATTGTTTTGTATTAAATTCAAAATGAGTAAATTGATAGGTTTATTAAATTATGAATGTATTATTTAGCTTGTCATTGCATTACTTTATATGTAGATCTGATTTGTAAAGAAGAATGGTTGTCATGCTGGCATAGGTGGTTGGTGACGATATTTGGAGGTAGAGTTTGGGTTTGACAATTCTTTGAGTTTGTGAATTAGTTTAAAATTGATTGTATTAAGTTATGAATTTTATGTATTAAACTGTAAATAAAATGTATAAATTTCATATAATTTTTATGTTAAATATGAATGAAAATGTTAGACTAGTTTTTTTTTTTTTTTTACGATTTTACCCTTTTCTTACCAAAAAGATAAAAATTAGGATTTTAACATATTTAGACAAATTCACAAAAAAATATTTACTTATAAAATGAGGTTCTTAGGTTCTTAATCTTTTATGGTTCTTATTTGAACCATTATATATATATATATATATATATATATATATATATATATATATATATATATATATATATATATATATATATATATATATATATATATATATATACTACAAACAAAAATTTTTATGCCACTGTACATTGAAAATTTAGTAGCCCGCTCCTATTTCCTTGGAAATCAAGTTGCCCGCTCTTATTTCCCCCCCTAATTTAGTAGTCTCCCACCCAAAACTTAAAAAAAAACAGGTCTCGATCATATACCTTAATCTTCGTTCAATGACCTAGTTCCTTTCCCAAATTCTCGTCGATCTCTACTCGCTTTCCATTAATTCGTAAGAATACTTGGTGAGTTCTTGTAGCAGCTTCTCTCAACCATCTCCGATCCACTCGTTATTTTTTGAGTTCCATTAGGGCTTGTTGTTAGGATACGAACAACCTGTGTTCCAATTAGGGCTTGTAGTTGGATCCCTCCCCGTTAAAATTAAGAAGCGTAACTTGTTTATGTTAATGTATTTTCTAGTTTTTTACTGATTGCATCATTGTGATCTACTTCTTTTCATCAATAGGATGAACTGGTGTGTTGGAACGACCCTACTACCCAATTTCAACAAGGTAGCTTTCCTATCAGTTAACTATACTAGCGTTTATGAACTGGAATTACATGGATTATCATTTCTCGTTTAACCAAGTTTTTGTTTTGGCTCTTCAGGTACGTATCTTCCAGCCATTTCCTGTCATTTGAAACCTAACTCTCTTCCGCTACCTTGTTTGTCTTTCAAATCCCTAATATTTTACCGCCATGATTGCTTTCTGAGTTGAAATCCCTAGCTGCCATTGACGATTTAGAGCTACTTCATTGAGCATCAGTAGCAATTTCTTACTTCCAGTAACCCTTGCATTTAGCAATACTGGCAGGCAGTGAACCCTAACTCTTATAGTTTAACGCCTACAGTTAACCAAGTCATGACGAGTAAGTTTCTGATAGACTTTGTTTGGATTATGTTGTTTATGATTCTTTTGGTCAAGTTAAATACATAAACTCAATTTTTTCAGAGTTTCATTTTCAGTTATCATGTATCCATTCAAAATAATTTGAGTTCACTTCAAGAAGGTAGTTTACTTTCAATATGAGGTGATTAAACCTTACCTTTTGTTCTTTTAGTCCTTGATGTATGTTTTTCTTGTCTCTGGTTTTAGACAAAAATTGATGTTAATTGGTTAAATGAGCTATAGAAGATGACACATAATTTGTAATTTATTATGGTCTTTATATATGAACCTACGTGATGATGATTTTATTCAGCTTGTAGGTGGAGATATTGGACAAGTTTTCTTCCACCCCATATTGAAACTAAACTGCCTTCTCGAGGTGAAATCAAATTATTTATCTTTTATATAAATTTTTATGGAAAGTAAATATTATGTTAAGATTTGTCATTCTCAATAACATATGAAACCATTTGTGATTCTTGAATTCATGCACATAATGCTTTAATTCTTGATACTTGTACATATCATATTTTTTTTCTCAGTGATTTATATCATGACACCTTTAGCTTTTTACATGCATTGAGTAGGCCATTAAGACTATTGGAAGTAATCTTGGAAGTTTTGGGGATTTGAATCTGTTAAAAATCATTGGGTATGTCTGGTTGTAGGATGTGGAGTATGTTTGACATGAGAGACAAACAATGTAAGCTTCAATTGCCTTATTTTCAACTGTGATTTACAGTGAATGTTCCCACATGATTTATGTGCCAAATAGTTTGTCCATTACAGTCGATTTAGCCTAGAAAATACTATGATGTCTTATTCTAAATTGTGATAATCTTACCAGGACAAACAAATGAATTTTATGATTTGTTTAATCAAGTAAACAATTCATAGCCTCCATCTTTTCAAAATTTATAATTAATTGCATTTTTTTGTTGTGTTCTAATGTGTATATCATATTTTCCTTCAGTGAATATCTTCCAATGTGGGAAGCAATAAGATGGTTGAGGAAACACTAAAGTTAGCCTATGGGGAAGATTCTAAGTTGATCAAAGATAAATGAATAGCAACGGTACAAACTTTGACTGGTGCATGTTGACTTTTTCAAACTTCCAGAAGCATTTTCCCCTGTTTCTCATATCTATATACTAGTCCCTACTTGGTCTAAGTAAGTACATAAGATTTAATTAAAAGTTAGAATCTTGATTCGCTATATCTTTTGTATTGATATCTTTTCTCTTGCTTTTAATGTGAATGTTAGCCACCATAACATTTGGAGGGATGCTAATGTACCATGAAGAACATGTCATTAGTACCATACATAATGAGAAGGTTTTGACCTCGCCTCACAGATGGATGATGTGAAGTTATCATGTTTCTTTTTTTTTTCTTAACTTGATTTGTTTTTTGTCATTTCAGAGATGTTTATGGAGTTTTCCCTTTTAACCAAGCTACATAGGAGGAAGGATACAACCGAATTAGCTAGCTTAGTTCAATAGCATTATGTTTTGAGTACTAGCATAACATTTAGACTTATTAATTTTTTTTTGAAGACATTTGTGCTGTAAATATTGAGAATATTGTTGTTAGACAAGTTTGAATTGAAGTAACGACATTGTGTTTTCAATTTATTATCATAATTGTTTTATTATTATCATTTGATATTCTATTTAAAATTTTAAAAATTAGTACCAACTTTATTACTATAGTCTTTTTGTGTTAAAAAAATGTCGCTAAAAACATAAAAATAAAATTTATTTTAACAGTTAGATAGTTGCATAAAAATTGTGCCACTAAAACCTAAACGTGCTATAGTGGCATAATCGAAAGTGCCACTAAAACCTAAAAAGGGTGCAGCGGCACAACCAAAAAGTGTCACTAAAGGCTTTTAGTGACACAATTTTTTTGTGTTGCTGATTGCCTAGGGGGCTTTTAGTGACACTTTTTTGTTTTTTAGGGACACTTTTTTATGTCACTAAATGCCATTATATATATATATATATATATATATATATATATATATATATATATATATATATATATATATATATATATATATATATATATATATATATATATATATATATATATATATATATATATATATGATTTTTATGTCAAATTTGCATGATTGTAAATTAATGGGTGAAACTTTTAGCTAAAGGTTTAAGATGCTTGTATGATAATTAAATAATGCCTTCATGATTAATGTTTTCGGTTATATTATTTTGTGGTTTGTAATAGACATTTCTGAAAAATGTTTCTTCTATTTGAGATACAATCTAAAAAAACAATATAATATTAGAGGTATTTATAAGTATAAAGATGGATTTAAGAAGAGACGAATAGAAGAACTAGAGAAATTTTTGATTCAAACTAAAGAATATTGGGAATTACAAACAAGTTATGTGATGAGATTATGACATTTGAAGTGTTGAATATGTTGGTGTCTCTTAGCACGATTTATTTTTGTATTCAAAAGTTTTTTTATGTACACAAACCTTTATATATTTTATAGAAGATCGAACAGATGCAACCTCTATCAGTCCTTACGTCAATTCCATCGATTTCCATGACTCTATCGAACGGATGCATATAAGTCTCCTTGCATTAACTCCAAAATGATCTCTCTCGGTTTTTCGCATATGTCCTCCAGTTCAAATGCTATTGTTGACCTTAATCGTTATGAAACAAATGCTATTTTCTATAATCTTTTGTCTTATAATTATAAAATTTGCAAGTATCTATTTAGTTGCCCATTACGCCGTATTAGTATTTGGAATTTTATATAATGTCCTTTTCCCATATCCTAGTATTAGAAATTTAGAATATGGCCTCTTCCAAGTACAAAGTAAAAACCAAGAAAATGACAAATAAAAGCCGGAAAAAGATAATTGAGTATAACAATCTCATTGTATACGGTAGTCGGTAGATATGTAGATATTTTCAAGAAATCTAATTTGTTATAAATAAGCATTTTTACATATTTGTAAATCAAAATCAAGGACAAAGATAATATATTTCCATACACGAACCTGATCAACACAAGCAATGGCCACTTTGACTCACATTGTTCTTGTTTTTACCATATTTGCGGTGGTGCTTCTTCCATTGACCACTATGGCACCGAATACGCGGTGGGAGATGCTAGTGGTTGGACCATAAATTATGACTACAAAGCGTGGGTTAAAGATAAAGTGTTCTACGTTGGTGACAAACTAGGTGAGTTGTCTTGTCAAAAATCTGTATCTTCTTTTAGGCATTGTAGATAAGAACAGTATTTCAAAGCTGTAATTTAAAGCTAACATAAATTTTTGTTGGATTCAGTGTTCAAGTACCCAGTAAATGTACACAATGTGTACAAAGTGAATGCTAGTTCCTTTGCTACTTGCACTATTTCACCACCTGGCACCGGCCTTACATCTGGAAACGACGTTGTGACCTTGATGACACCCGGCAAGAAGTGGTACATTTGTGGTGTGGAAGAACATTGTGCTGACTTTAACCAGAAGTTAGTGATCGATGTCCAATCAATGAATCCAGCACCCGCACCAAGCACTGGAACCAAGTATGGCTCTAAGACTTTCATGCCAATGGTCATCTTTATTTTGGCAACGATAGTCATGGTTTGATATTGGTATCGTTTATTGATTTACTAAATGTAAGAATAAGACTACATGGTCTTTGTGAACTTAAGTGTGGCCATTTGATTTCCTCATTATGTAAGAATAAGACTACATGGTCTTTGTGAACTTAAGTGTGGCCATTTGATTTCCTCATTATGTAAGAATAAGACTACATGGTCTTAGTGAACTTAAGTGTGGCCATTTGATTTCCTCATTAATGAAAATAATTTTTTGGTTTATTTAGAAAAAAAATTCACGAATGATCCTTTAGCTTTACATTTTTTTTTCTGATATAGTCTCTATGAAACTTTCTTCCCTGAGATGATCCCTAATGAGGAAACCTTACACACAAATGGTTATTACCGTGGATGTCAGTTAGATGTATTCGTTAAGTTGATTTTTTTTAGATAAGGACTATTTCTTCCATTTTGTGAAACTTTCTTAAGAACCATTTGTAAAATTTTACACAATGTACATTTGAAATATTACAATGTTAGTCTTTCATTTTTTTTTTTTTTTTAAATCGGCTCTTTTACATTTTTTTTATTCAAATTGCGTTTAAAAGTTTCCTTAATTTTTTCATTTGTTATTATATATTTTTTTACATATATAAATAAATTTTTTTATTTAGACTTTATCTAAAATATTCAAATTACAATACATAATTAAATATTTTTGTTTTCTATTTTTTTTATTTAAATAATTGTTTAAAATAAAATATCAACAAATTATATCGAACCAATATAAAATTTATTGTACTTATATTATGAAATCAAAACCGAAACATATTTTTATCTTTAACTCAAAATTACATACTTATATTTTTAAAATAAAATAGCAACATGCTATTATTTCTGTAATACCACATTTTTTTTTTATAATAACACATAATATTTTTTCATAAAGATAAATATATTTGTGTTAGATAAATGAAGAAAAAACCTTAAAAATTACATCATGTAAAACTTAAAAAGTAATAAAATGATGTTTTTATATTTCAAATTTTCTTGATAAAAAATAGAAAACAAATTATGTATTATAACATCCCAAATTTTTCAATAAATTTGAAAATTTTAAAATAACATAAATCATCCATTTAATGTATTTTATTCATACAAATGAAATACAAAAACCGCAAGATCAATTTAGTTTCCAAACATTATTAGTTATAATTCTAAAATTCATGAAAACATAATCAATTTAATATCGATTCCAAAAACCCGACTTGAGCCAATGTATACAATCATGCATGACCATCCTGTTACATGAAATAGTATTTTTAAGGGAAAAATGGTAAGCACAAAGCTTAGTGAATTCCACACGTACACAATATCATATCATATAATCCTTACCCCTATATATACACAGATACAAACGGTATCAAATACATAACCACACATGCATGTCAAAGAACGAATCAATAACAAACATACTTTTACTGGGACACATTGGATAGGCCCGATCCCCCTTGCTCAGTACATCGAGCCCTTAGGACACATTGGCTAACCCCATTAAGACCTAACCCCAAAGGGCTTATATTCTGGAAATAAGTCATTAACAGTAGTAAAACCCATTGAGTCAAAAAGCCAATAAAAATTCCAATCCCACACTCCAAAGTACATTGCTTAAAAGAGAAAATTCCAATCCCATACTTCAATGTCCTTAGCAGCAGTACAACCTCAACCCATCCACACAACATGTCGACATATAACAGCTAAAGGCACATACAAATAACCAAACAGTAACACAAGTAGTCCTACAGATCTACCAACTGACATAGCAACTAGCATGCATAACTATCTCATAATCAACAGATCATCAACTACTAGTATATCAGATCCAATGGGCTGGCCTTGGTGCTTTCGACCCCTAAGTATAGTGAAGACAACTCACCTCGCAAGTAGCTCGGGATGATAAATGTCTAACTCCCCAAATACAGCTCCAAACTCAAACATCTACATCTACCAATGATTCACTTTCATAAATTCCCAAATTACTAAAATACCCCTAGAAGTCAAACTGGTCAACCATTGGTCAAAGTCATAGTCAACGGTCAAGGTTAACCGTCCATGTTGACCGAACTCGTCGAGTGTAGCTCACTGACTCGTCGAGTCCTTCCAGAACTCAAGAAATCGTGAAAACCCTAGTTGACTCATCGAGTTTCCAGAAAACTCTTCTAGTCCATGTGATGTCTAAATGTCGGGAAAACCCTAACTGACTCGTTGAGTCATCTCACTGACTCGCCAAGTCCATGCAGAAACCAAAAACGGCGAATCTTCATCTGACTTGTCGAATTGACCATGCAACTCGTCCATTCCCTTCAGTTCATTTCTCATTCAGAAGTTATTAAGCTGTCCCAAAGCTCCAAATTGTAGATCTAGCTTCCTAAGGCATATTTATCACGTGTAGTTGCAAACTTTACGTGCATGCAAGGTCTTAAAGGCTTAAAAAACCAAAACCAAGTCTAGAATGAGGTTTAGGGCATGGTGATAGGCCAATACAAGATAAAGTTGATAGCATTATGAATATGGGGCCTAGAGAGTCCAAATCTGAGACCATGTCCTTGTGATAAGCTCAAAACCAAGAATGGCTCCATTAAACCCCAAAAATAACCATAAATGTCCATAGAGGAAGATCTAAGCATGAAAGGGTCAAGGTGTTAGCTTTTAAACTCAAATTGGTTGCCAAAACGAAGTAGATGACAGATCCACTTCCTCCTTTTTGATCCAAGCTCCTCACTCTTCAAGTTTCCCTTCCATGATCAACAAATAACACCTTTCAAGCTCTCAACACACACAATGGGGGTTTAGGATGCGATCTAGGGTTTCCTATGGTTGTAATGACGATGGGGGAGGCTACAAAACAACCTATAAGTTCTTTAAATCGGGTGCAAACTTTAAAACTTAGGGTATCCATGCACCACCTCTACTCATCGAGCCGGGGTCCTCCGACTCGTCGATTAGAAGTCATAAAATCATGCAGATGACTAGGTTCGGCACGACGAGTTGGGGCCTCCAACTTGTCGAGTTCCTTCAATAAAATGAATATAAAACTTTTAAAAATATACCTGGGATTCGGGGTGTTACATCCTTCTTCTTTCCCGCTTCTTTCTTCTTCTCGACCTAGGATAAACACGACATAACACATCCACACACTTGCATGTTGTGTGTGTGTGTGTGTATATATATATATATATATATATATATATGATACTAAGGATCTGCTCCACCCTATTAAACCAAGAGAGGGCCAATCGGCCCTTTTATTTATCCAGTATTATGGGCTTAAATTTTGGATTTGCAATATGAACCCTCAAGTTTTCCATAATGGCATAAATATTCCCTCAAAACAATTTTTCTTGCAACACAATGTTTTTAGGTTGCTAATTTCCACCCTTCATTTGCAAAATAATTGCAAATCCCTCAATTACTAAATTCTTATATTATAATCATTTTATTATTATTATTAATCCTATTTTTTATACTTACAACCTTTAATAAATAATTAAATGCAAAATAGGGTGTTACAACTCTCTCCCACTTGAATCATACTCCGTCCTCGAAGTCACCATTAGCAAACAACCCTGTATATTCCACTCGCATATCTATCTCGGACTGCCAAGTCTATTTCGAAACCTTCCCGATGCTGTCTCTGGACCTTTACTAACTCGGTCAACTTGTTGGACTAAGGTCAACTTATTTAGTGGCTCCAAGCGTAGCACTGCCTTCCCTACTCGAACAACAATCTCAAATGGGTCTTGGTATTGAAGCCCCAACAACCAGACGTCATACATTTTCTATCATACAACAGTTCAAAAGGTGGCATGGCAATATAAGAGTGAAGGTTGTTATTGTGGGAAAAATTTGCTAATGAAAGTTGCCAATCGCAATTACCCCCATATTTTGAATCATGCGTTTACTCAGACCCTCTGCTTATGGGTAGAACGATGTGCTAAACTGTAACTAAATATCCATCTCCTCCTGGAACCTTTCCTAAAACCGAGACATCATCCAGATATCCTTAACAGGGACTATAGTAACTAGCACCCCATGCCTGGCTACGACCCTTATAATGTGAATACATTCTTTTTACTTCTAGTAGAAGAAGACACACTTGACAAGAGTATGTCAAATGACTCCGACTGCCACAATCAACATTCTAAATCTTGCCTGAAACTCTCTTGTATTTGGCTTTCTCATTCAAAACGCCACTTCCTATGCCTTTCTCAATCGCTCCAACAGAGGAGTACGCGACTTGCAGACACAGCTCCCGCAGTATCTTCCTAGCCGCCTTCCTAATAAGAGTATCAATAACTACACTTACTTTAATAGGATAGTAAAGTATTCATCCTTCGAAATTCTTAACCACATTTAGCAACATAGCCCAAATCCTTTCCAAACTCCCATCAGTCTAGAATTTATGCTCTAAAACTTCCGATACATGCCCTCTAAGGCTAACGATCATCCTTACTCCCTTATGCACGAAACTGACTAATCCCTTAACCAGGAACTCTAGCATTCCCAATTGAAGCAATATCTTCATCGAAACCTATTCAACATCTGAATAGAGACAATAATTTTGACATTCATCCATATGAAGCCTAGCACTCAAACTATCTTTCTAACAAATCAAAACTTCCACTACATGAACGAGTCATACCCTAAACATTGGCTAGCAATCTTCCATTGATACGCTCAGCTGACCCTCTTACATTGTTCCCCTTCGCACCCATGGTCTTGTATCTTGCACCAAACCATACAAGAAGGTACCCCCATCAATCTATTACTATCCAAATAAACTAAATCATCCTAAACACACATCCGATACATGCCAATTATAAACTCACATACCATTCCTTTAGCTTACGACACCTCGCCAGTCTTGTTATCATCCCATTCTACTCTGACTGGCTCATAGTCAACACCTTAATGGGCCTATATGTATAAACCACCATCACATTGACCTGAAGGAACTCAACCATCATCCTACATCCCATAACAGTAGTA